CGTTAGGCTGCGCAGGAAACAGGCCCCAACGCGCCGGGCTGCGGCTGCGCCTCCGCCTCCGCCTGCTGCAGCGCCGCCCTCTGCGAAGGGCCTCCCGGCTCCCCTGCACGGCCCAGGCCCCGTCCTTCCTCGTCACAGAGAAGCCGGGCTGGAAGGGGCCTCCAGGTCGTCTCGTCCAGCCCCCTGTGCCTGAGGCAGGCTCAGCCCTATCCCAACTGTACATCCAAACCTCTACCTAAGACTGTCATGCACGAGCCAGCTCTGCGGCCAGTGCTTTGGGCTCACGTGAGCAAGGATTCATTTAAGCAGCCAAGCTGGAAGCCCAGGGGGGTTACACCAGCCCTCTCGCCTCAGCAGGGCGCAGTGCCCAACATCTGTGTGACTCTTGGCAGGACTGTGAAGATGGACCATGACCGGGCACGGGAAGGCTCTGGCTCTTGCTCTTGCTGAAGACAAGAAGTCGTCCCTTAAAAAGTGGAGTCTTAACTCTGTGGCGTCACTGAGGCAGCTGCGCTGACAAGCACCCCTGTGGCGGCTCTGTTAGGGAGAGAAATCAAAGAGAAAGTAGCAAGGTTTTGTCCCTGCCACAATAATGCTTACCCGGACAGCCCCAAATCTCAACAGGAAAAGGCGGCCAGCAAAGCAGCCTGTTATCAAACATGTTTTCTAAGCTGGTGGTTCTCAACCCTGATAGCCTCAAGGCATCTCTTGGCAAATACCAGCTGCCAGTTTTCCCTTGTTTTTTATAACTACAGAAAAATAAGAGAGAGAGAGCTGTTCTGCCATTGAAAAGAACTAAGAAAGACCACACCTGGGCAGAATGATTTTAACACTTTGGATTCCTAGTTGAAATCTCTAGGTTTATTTTGTGGATCGTGTTTGCATATCTAACAGTACTAACGTTGTGTGATGCCCCGTGGCACCCTTAAAAGGATCTAAGGCACCCCAGGATACGTGGCACCCTGACTGAGAATCACTGTCCTAGGCCTATATGTGAAGAACAGTCTGGTCACACACAGAAGCTTACAGAAAGCTTCTGACATATCATTTGATAACAATTTATCAGGTTCTTAAATGTAGGTTTCCTAGACAACCTTGTTTATCGGTTTTATTCTTTGTTTGAGTGATAAACAGGTGCATAGGATATAATTTTGTGATGTCGGTATGGGCTTCAGTTAGTGTTCCCACAGAGCTATCTGACCCTCACAAGACTACTTTCTAGGGTTGTTTTCAAAAACAGTCTCTGCTTGTAGTCTAAGCCAGTGATTTTCAACCTTTTAAGTAGCAAGTATCCCCTGACTGCTGAAAATTTTAATGAGTACCCCAACACTCAATTTTCCCAGGGATTTGATATTTGCAGACTAATGTGTTGGAAGAAGGGCTGTGTATATAAGGCCGTGATATGACAGATGTCTGATCTGGTGTGGGTAGGGTTGCCACCTTTTATACCAGGGGTGTACAACTCAAGTATGTACCTGGGCTAGAGGTGATGTTGGCCAAAGCTAGGAAGGCTGAACCCAGTGCCACACAAAGCATGGCATGCCAAATTATTATTGGGGAGCTTATTCCAATTTTTTTTATTCCAATTTTTTTGCCATAGTTTTGAGAGCAGGAAGGGGCAAGAGAGAGAGGAAGATGGGGAGAGAAAGAAAGAGAGAGAGAGAGAGAGAGAGAGGGGAAAAGAGGGTGAGAAAGAGATAGTGTTGGGGTACCCGTGTACCCCTTGCCTGTGTCTCGTGTACTGCCAGGGGTACGCGTACCACAAGTTGAGAAACTATGGTCTAAGCCAGGCAGAAGTAGGGAGGGAAGGAGTAAGGTATATTAATTCATAGAGTCAACTGCCACACTACTACAAGGGAACCATGTTTATCCAGACCTGTTAATCAAGCCTGTTGATTTGTGAAGTTTGTGTCACCTAAACCTAAACAACAACACTAACACTAATGATAGATGTCTGGTGAGGTCCAAAAAGGGGTTTATAGTAACCAAGAACTGTACTACATAAATTGAAAAATGTTAGAAACATCCACAAGAAGTTGCAGCTGCATATTAGAGATCAAGGAAAAACATGCATTTAGAATGTAGCTAAAGCAAATTCAAGAAATACAAGATGCAGTCTAGCTCAAATTCAAGTTGCAAGATCACTTCAGAGACCATTAAGATTCTCTGGTCTCTGAACTGATAACTGGTACTTTACAACATGCAGCAATGGAGGATAAAACAGACCTAAGCTATCACTACTTTGCACTGCACCTTGGTGGGTCCTTAACATGCTACTCCTATAACCATTCAGAATAGTCATCCCTACCACCAGCTTATACATACAAATCCTACAATATCTGTGTGTGCAGTTCTCAAAAGATACTATTGCTGCAATGGACACCTATGTATAGATAAAGATATTTTTCTTCCTACTGGAATATAATAATGTTGCATCAGTCACTTACACCCTATATAACAAACATAACATATTGGATATAGCAAATTATTAGGTGGGGAAAAACTATACCCACCCATGGAAAACACTTAGCTCCCACTACATTATTGTATATGTCAGCCTCTGCACATAATTTTCAATCATCATCTGCAAAAAAACCCCAAAACACAGCATCCTTTTCAGTGCTGAATCAATTCATAATCATTCAAACTAGCATCTGTCATCAGGATGCAAGACTCATGAAATCCCGAGGACCTGTTAAACTAGATCCCTCAGGAACCTAACAGGGAAAAAGACTTCCTACTCTATACAGGAAAGGGAAGTGTGTTCAGCAGTATTCACAGCTTCCTAGAGACTACAAAGGAAAGAGGAACCCGTAAAGTTAAATAATAGATAGCCAAAAGTACTGATTATATTACTTTCATCTTAACCTCTACTGCTTTCCTCAGAATTCAAAAAATATAGATTCTTACCTTTCCATTGAAAAGGTAGGGATGAGATGGAAAAATTCACATTGACTTCAATGAACTATGAAACAGTCCCAAAGTAAAGAACAAACTGTGATCCTGTTATGTGACCCTGTTGTGCTAACTTTGCAGAAAGTTGTTTCCAGCTAAGATGTGAAACTCCCTTTTCCTATCCTGCTCACCTTCCTGAGGTGTTAACCGGACAGTGGCCCAGAAGAGATTAGGCACAGTAACCTATGGACTTTCCACCTAACTAGAGTGGAAGTGATTAATTAATCTTTAAACAAACATGAGGGGCTTTTTTTTAAATCAAACACTAACACTGTCCTGATTTTCCCTTTGGAAACTCACCAGGTACCTTGGCAATTACCATTCTTACATCATTTGTTAAGGGCCAACTGTGCTGGATGTTGAGCAAGTCACAGAAATAAATAGACCTGAAAGATAAAAGCTTTTGAGAAAGCCTTACGCAGTCAGAAGACCACAGGAAAGAATAATTTTAATATAATAATGTTATTACTTGTATTACTGGGTCCCAGTGATGGTATAAATGAAAACAAGTCACAGGCCCAGTAGCAATCACAATTTTAGACATGTCTAACACTTCATTCTGCTTGGACAGGGTTAAAGTATCTGGAACATGACTGAAGCCATTTCTGTACTTTGAGGGTAGCAATATTATAAGGGAGGGTCCTGATTTGGTGGTATATGTAGAGGTAATTGGGCCTTTTGCTTCACAGTGCCTGGATCTTTGCTAATGGAAGGTTTTGCTTTCTTGGACTATATTAGTTTGTACTTATTCTTGTAATTTTAAAGAGAGTAACATCTGAGCAACTTGATTCTCACCAGGACATGGAAGCAATTAAGAATTCCAACAAACCAAAAACATTAGGAAAAAAAAATGCATAACCCTAGCAAAACTGGACCTCCTCCTATCCCAAGATCTTTCCCATCAAGCTGCCCCTGCCCTGAGAGAAAGAAGGTAACATTATCTACTTATCTCCTTCTTTACCTGGACACACTGTCCTTTATGAGCCACACCTTCCTCCCAGAGGAAAGGAAAGACACATTAGAGAGAACATAGCATGACATCAGTGACTCAGAGACAGAAACAGGAGACTAAACCTCACACATGGTATGAAACTTTGTCTTGGGCAGTTGCTGGATACACAGTATCTGCCTCTGACTGCTGAGATTTTTCCTTTTTCACACTTTTAATTGTTAAATGAACTAATGTATTGAAAGTGACATGAACTATGGTGGAGCATCACATTATGTTACAGAGGTCTACTAGTTTCTTTCCTCTTGCCTTCATTACAATATGAACACACTGATTAGTCTTTCCTCTCACTCATCTGCTTATGTTTTCTGGAGTAAGGCTTCAGATCTCAGAAGGGCATTGGGTGCATCATCACTTTTGCTCCCCAGGAACTGGAAGCAATTAAAAAACAAATGGTCCCAGAATACACTCTGAATAACCAGGCCCAACAGTCATGGAGTGGATGTGTCAGTGCTACGAGTGATCTTTCCTTCCTACCTGCCTTCTGCGGGGGTTTCAATCTTCCCTTTCTACTTTGATTGAATAAATGTCATTGTGAGTCCATAACTGATCCTGGTGCTTGATCCTCTAATAATTTAGAAGCAAGTGACAGGAAATGGCCCAGCATGGGCCTTTCACTCCCTTAACTTCATGCTGAATCATGGTCAAACTCTGGTTTAGAAATGGAAACTTTGGTGGGAAGACACAGCAGGCAGGTCTACACTTGTGCTTTAATTCATAGATTCAGAAGGGACCACAAAGGATCATCGTGTCTGACCCCCTGCCCCTGGCAGGAAAGAGGACCGAGGTCAGATGACCCCAGCCAGGTGTCTATCAAGCCTACTCTTGAAGACCTACAAGTTAGGTGATAGTACCATCTCTCTTGGAAGCCCATTCCAGATTCTGGCCACCCTTACTGTAAAAAATGTCTTCCTAATGTCCAACCTGAATCTACTCTTCACTAGTTTGCATTCATTATTCCTAGTTACTCCTAGGGGTGCTCTGGTAAATTGTGCATCTTCAATTCCCCATTGTCCTCTGTTAATAAACTTATAGGCAGCTACAAGGTTCCTGGTTCCAAGGTTCCTTCAGATGTCTCTTGTGGAGGCTGAAGAGATCCAGATCCCACAACCGCCCCTCATAGGGTCTTTCATGAAGGCCACTAATCATGCGAGGGGCCCTCCTCTGGACCCTCTCCAGATTCTCCGTGTCCCTCTTGAAGTGTGGTGCCTAAAACTGGACACAGTACTCCAACTGTGGCCTGACCAGTACCTCCCTTGATCTGATACATCTGCCAATGCATGACAAGGTGCGATTGGCCTTGTTACACTGCTGACTCATATTCATCTTGGAGTCAACTATGACTCCAAGATCCCTCTCAGCCACTGAGCTGCTGAGGAAGTCATCCCCCAACCTGTAGGTGTGCTGGGGATTCCTCCTCCCTAGGTGGAGTACCTTGCATTTATCTTTGTTGAATTGCATCCTATTTCGTCCTGCCCATTGATCCAACCTGTCTAGGTCGGCCTGCATCTGCTCCCTGCCCTCTGGCATGTTAACTTTGCCCCATAACTTGGTATCATCTGCAAACTTCGAGATGTGCATTAGCCTATTTTAATGCACATTAAAGCATCACTACAAAAACTGTGCTCTTTAGTTCACATGCATCAAAATAGGCTAATGCACCTTTTCCTAGTACCTCACCATGGAGGTATACTAGATTTAAGGTGCTTTAATGCACATGTGTTTTAATGCACGTGTAGACACACCCGATGAAAACTGGGCGAGCTTAGCTCAGGTTGCCAGACATACAGGCTTTATAATAGTGATGTTCAACCCTGGGGTGTCATGAGACTCTTTTAAAGGTCTTGCTATATGACCAGGTTTGGGCACGCAAACTAAGGTGGCCATCATAGAGGACAGTCCGGCTGTCCTGTATTAATATGAAACCAGATGCCTTTATGTCCTCTGTTTTTCTCTTCAAGAGAAAAATAGAGGACATAAAGGTGTCTGGTTTCATATCAATAGAGGACAGAGCAGCAGGAAACAGGAGTGTCCTCTATGATGGCCACCCTAACGCAAACACCTGCACCTGCCTCAGGACATAAGCCCAGTGACTAGATGACCTCCTTCCAACCCTAATCTACGATTTCAACCAGGAACCCACAGGGGCAACACCACCCCGACCTGCACAATTCCTTGCAACAAAAGTGCTCCTTTCTGTCCCCACCGCCCCAAAAACAAAGGAAGAGGTGGCATTTTCCGAGGGGCAACTTGAGCCTCACGAGGCGGGACCCCCTGCTCCCCGGGAGAGGTCTGGCACTGCCGGAGCGGGGTGAAAGCCCTCTCCGTCCCTGCCCTGGGAAGCGAGAGCTAAAACCCGGCGAAGGGGCGAGGGCGGAGTGGGAGCAGGGGAAACACGAGCCTCCTTCCCAGCCCTGCCCTCGGCTGCCAGACTGGCTCCGTGCGGGACAGCTCGGCGTGCAGCCGACC